GAATCAGGTATATCTCCTATCATGGTCTGGAATATAGTACATGACAACGCCTACTGTGAAGTCAGCAGGCATAAGCTGGAAGGTGAAAGAAATGCTTCAAGGATGTCCTAGAACACATTCTGAGAGAAACAAGTATGAATTCAGTCTCCTGGGAAATGGCAACCTGAGCCCCCTGAAATGTAGCAAACACCAAAAAGCTGGGCACGATCAACAGTGAGAGAGGGGGCGGGGCATAGGCTGTGAAAAGTAGCTCTGGCCACTGAACAGGGAGACACCACCTTGATACTCAGAATGAAAGGAGGGCACACCTACAATACATGGGGAACTACAGCTTCGGTGTCTCATGAGTACAAAGAACAAGACAATGACTTATTCTTATTTTATCTGAGCAGCTGTAGTAGCAGGTCCCCAGCTGCCTGGCTCCCTGTGCCAAGGGGAAATACAAAATGCTATAATAGCCTCTCTTGTCTCCATTCCCTTTTCCTGGATGAGCTTTTTCCCCCTGGAGCACTAGAGCAGGGCTTTCTATCCCCTTCTGGTATTCTGCCTGCCAGGGCCAGGGGCCAGCTTACACTAACTTGACTGGAAGGGGGCTGGGTAAGCTCTGACCCAAGAAAATTCCCTTTACAGGGTCAGCCTTGAGGCCAGAAAGACCATTGTGACAAATTCATGACTTTTTAGAGCTTCATATACTAATGAAATAAAAATGTCCTCCCTGCAACTTGTTTCAGCATTCCAAATATATCAGACATCACTGAAACACATACTATGGATGGGTTTAGCATGCCCTCTCCAGAGAACACAATTTGAGGAATAATACAGTGTGGGGGCGAAAGTCTGCTTACAGGTGGGAGTATGCAGAGTTTATTCTTGTATTATTACTTATTAATTATTGTATTACTTTCCATATGAACAACTGTAAACCTATTTTTGCCCCACCCTATATGTGTAGAGTTTGGTGAGAGTGATCGTTTGGGAGAAGATAGCTGGACTTGGTCTATTTCCCCTTGTCAGTTATGTAATAATAATAATAGTGATGAGATGTTGACAATAGTGACATTTATTCACTGTATACAGTTTCATTTTATTCTCCCAACAGCACTACTTATTAACGCTGCCTACAAAATGAGGGAACTGAGCTACTGGGAATTACTAGCCGTGTGACTTTCTCAAGCTCACATGGCTAGTAAGTGGATAATCAAAGTTTGTGCACTTAATCTGTGCTATACTGTGCTTTCATGGAGAGAGGAGCGACTGCGGTGTTTCTCTTTCATACATGTCTTTGAAACCAGACTGCTCACAGTGGACTTAGCTGGATATTATGAGCCAAATCTCTTAGCTCTTTTGTTTCCAAACAAAAATAATGGCAACCCAAGGTACAGTGGCACCAGGAAAAAAATTTTTCCTGCAGTTTGTTATCTGGAACTTGGTCTTTATATCATGATAACTACGTTCTCTAGTCTACCTGCAAATGAGTAAAATTTGGAATCATGGTAATTTTCAGAGTAGAACCTCAAATGAGACTTTAAAAGTCAGCAAAATGTAACATCCGTCTGTTCTAATTTGTTGCTGTTACGAATCCTCTTTGAAGCCAAAGAGACCTTCTACATTCACATTCCAGAAATGCCCCCGCCCCCGCCCCCATGCTTGGCTTGGAAAAATCCTTCTTATCCTTCAAGGCTCAGCTCAAATGTCACCTCCTTTATGAAGTCCTTCCCAGCCCCACAGGCAGAATTAATTGATCCTCCTCTGTGCTTCCACAGCACTTTGTATTAGCACTGCTAGTATAGCATTTACCACGTTCTTTCAGTTAGTCACATAAGGTCACTGAGGTCAGAGACCTGTCTTATTCATAAACCCTTTTATCCCCACATCCTCAGCCTAGCATATACCACACTTCATCAAATTTAAAACCCTACTGAACCATTATTTTATGAACCATTAAGAAATGTTTAAAAAAAAACCCCAAACACTAACAATTATACTATGACATGCCGATTTCAAGATGTGTCACAAATTCAGGGATGTCAAAATATTTTAAGTGTGTCTTAGAAGTTATTAACTATAGTAAGAAGTGATCAGCAAATGTCTCTAGAATGGGATTGTAAACCCAATGTGGAGAAGATATTCCTAGAGTCCTGTGACAGCCCATGCTTCTTAGTATGTAAGAAAGTGGAATTTGGTGAGGAATGGTGTGTAACTGCATTGCTGATTTCAAGTATTTTATGCAACAGATTAAAGGGATGAATAGCCTGATGTACCATCATTGTTAAAACAAAACAAAACAAAAAAAACCCTTTATCCCTGGCTGGTGTGGGTCAGAGAATTGAGTGCCAGCCTACAAACCAAAGAGTCAATTCTCAGTCAGGGCACATGCCTGGGTTTTGGGCCAGGTTCTCAGCTGGGGACATGGGAGAGACAACCGATCCCTGAATCTCTTACACATTGACGTTTCCCTCCCTTACCCTCTCTCTAAAAAGAAATAAATAAAATCTTGAAAAAAATACCTCCACATCTCTGATTCGGTATGCTAAAAGGGACAATGACAATATATTCTGATAAAAATTGGGGGCACCTAATGCAACAAATGAATGTGATTATGGAGACAATAGGACAGAATATTAGGACTTCATAAAGGATTGATTCTGGTTCTCCAAGCCACTTCAACCCACTGCTACTCCCATCTGCCCAGAAGAGGAATTGCTTAGCTTTCTCCAAGCTTATCACAACCCTGCTTTTAAAAATAAAAGCATCAAAATATGTGAACCCTTCCCAGCTCCAAACTGTTGGCTCTGTTACCTTGGCTTGCATTTCTCTTTAGACCTCTGGACCTGGTGATTGTCTGTTGTCTCCCTGGTTAGTGTTTGGACCTAGGCTTTCCATAGGCTGGGGCTTTCTGGAGCTCAGCATCCTAGGCCTGTCTCACCAAGAATCTATTTTCTAGTTCCTTCCTAGAAATACAAACGCCCTACCCTAGAGCTGGGCCAAGCCACACACTTATTTTTTCTGGAACTCTCTCCAGCACACTCTTTCCCTGTCCCTCTAACACACATAAGTACACATACACACGCATGCAAGATAAACCAGGTTTTCACTTAAGATTTTAGATAAGCTCCTCTTTAAAAATTAAAATATGCTACGAGGATTGCACCCAGTGGCTTAATTAATACAATTTGTGAAATATTTTAACATGTAAACAGCTCTACACGCTAGCAGTCAAGGACTGAGAGTCTTTCTGGGACAAAGACAAATGGATAATTTTTGAGGGGGTGATGAGGAAGACAAATAGGGCAGAGTTCCTAGTTTGCTTTTGTACCTAGACCCTTTGTGAGAAGCCAGTGACCACCAAAAACCTAGAAGTCATCTTTCCCTTTTGGGCTGCCGGTGCCTGGGTTATCAGGGCTAAATCAGAAAGTGCCAAAGATGATTATCTTCTGATGTAGTCCAGCGTTCCCAGGTGAGGTGAGCCCTGCTCGGCCTTCAGATCAGCTTAGTTGGTTTCCATCATGCCTTCTTCAACAGTAAGGAGCAAAAATAAAACAAGAGATAGGAGAAGGAAGAACCTCATTTACTTCCTTTCCTGATTAGTTATGACACAGTATTTGGAAATGCCCAAACTATAAAGAAGAGACTTTGTATATTTCTTTGAAGGGGGGTGTCTGAAATCTGTCCCCCAAAGTACTAGAACTGAGTGCACCTGATGCCATAGGAGTTTTACTTCTTCACAGATACAGTCATACATGCAAATAAAATCACTGCGGTGAAATCATAGAACATTAGAAGCAAAGAAAATCTGGATAAGAGTTCTACTCCTTCATTATACAGATAAAGATTTTTAGGACTTTTATGTAGCTAGTTAATGGCAAAGCAGGTCTTAGCACCCAAGTGTTCAGACTGCCAGTCTGGGGATTTCCCATATGGGAACACACCTAAATCTTTACAATTGTAGCCCACCCTCATAGCCTGTAATTACATTTGGTTCTTTGGACTTACACATACCAAACAAATGGAGCTCAAATTACAAAAAGTCTTGATGATTGATACAAACAAATGCAAAGGATCAACTGGTCCACAGTTTCTACCAAAGGATTGAAGCAGTACGTTTTTATTCTCTGAAAGTATAAAATAAATGATCACTGCCCAGGCTGCTTACAGGGCTGGATTCCTGTATAAATCAAGTCAGCTCACTGACAACTTACCTAGCTGACACCCAACACCTTTTACCAAGTCCCAATCAGCTGGTGGTGTAAGCTGGGCGGGAAACATATAAATTCCCCCTCACCTTCTAGTAGAATTTTGGAAGAACTGTATAAACAACGCCCCTTGGTGGTCAACAGAAGAAAACACAAGAGCCATTGCTGACAAGTCAGGGCTCTAGCCAAGGTCACAGCCATGTCTCTAAGTCATCTTCTAGTCTATGGGAATCGTGGCCAGGTCAAGGGAGAAAGCAGGGGGAGGGCAACAGGGAGGATAAAAATCTGCATTTTTTTCTGGAGATGTTTATATGTGCCTAATTAAGCTTAGATATCAAAGAAAGGAGACACATTTTTTTATTTCATTGAGTCTGAACAGGCAGCTATAAGAGCCACAGACATATGTTATGCTTATACACATAAACATGATTTTTATTGTCAACATCAATGAACACAGATGGAAGAATATTCATGTGCCAAGGACGTAATGCTCACAAGATCACAAAATGGCTGTTGGCTTGTATTCATAAGTGATTTGGTGAATCGCTACAGGTCTGAGTGAGATGGTATTTTTAAAAAAGATTTCTGAAGCTTCATTTCCACCTGGACCTCTGCAATAACTTCATTAGACAGAGAAAGCAGACACTATGAATTTAAAATATATACATTGGACAGATATTTTGATTCACCAAAAATGAAAATTACATCCCAGTAAACACATTTTAAGTAGCATACCAAAAAAAGCACCAAAAACACTGATTTGGCTCAATGGTTTGCCTAATTAAAGGCATTTTAATTTTTGAAGTATTAAAAAAAATCCCCTGTAAAGCTGTGAAGGGTACTTGATGATGTTACAGTAGAAAAGTGTTTTCTAAGCAACTCCAGGGCCCTGTTATTTCTTGCTTGCAGGGTCTTCTCAGCTCTCAGTTCATCCTTGATAGCATCAAGCTCTCCACGGATCTTTTCCATTTCTAATTCATAATACGATTTTATTTCTTCTTTTACGAGTGCATTTCCAACCTCAGTCTGATGCTTTAACTTCTTCACAGCTTCTTTTAAATCTCTGTTCTCTAGGCTCAACTTGTGGATGACTTCTTTGGCTTGCTGGAGCTCTTCAGTTAAGTTTTTGACATTTATTGCTTTTTCAGATAGGTCATTTCTTAAAGCTTGAAGTTCCCAGTGTTTCTTCCAAGTTTCTTGAAAATTTAGGGATTTTGCAGAGACTTCCTTTTTGGCGTTCAAAAGTTCTTTTTCAGCATTTTCATATTCCTCTTCTATTTTTTTGCATTTCATATTAAGTTCTTCCAGTTCTTCATTCAAAATATTCAGGCTAAGTTTTGGAGACGTCCCTTCAGTATATTTTTTCTTCTTTTCTTGTCGCCATGGAATTGGTGATTCCTTTGTATTCCAGATGCAATGGTCTTCTGAGCTATTAAAGCTTTCTTCAGTTCCAACATCTAAATTAGATGATTCACAGGAGGTAGAGTTTGCATCTGCTTCATTCTTTGAAATGTTCATCTTTCTTTCTCTCAAATTTGGTTCTTGTTCTTTTTCATTTGGTTGGTAAATAAATTCTTTCCTCTTAAATTTATTCTCTTCTTGAAACTTTCTACGAGACAAATTATAAATTCCTTCTATTCTCTTGCTCTTATGCAAAGTCATTTGTTCAGGAGAAGATTCAGGCTCTAAAGTCTCACTTAGAACATCGTGAGCACTAAAACAAGGAGCAAACATATTCTCTTTCCAGTGTCTTCTCCTGTCATCCATTTCTTCAAGGACCTCTTCCAATTCCTGAAAAACAAAATTTTAAAATCAAGGCACATTATTTACACTGGAAGCTGGTAGAGTGAAAAGAACTAAGAATGCTGGCTCATGCGTGAAGGAACCTAAATATTTGAAGGCTGGCTCCCCCTGTAACTCCTGAGTGGCCTGGCCTCAGTTCCCTCATTTATAAATTGAAAGGGCTAACCTAGCTAAGTTCTACAGATCCTTCAAGCTTTAAAATTCTCTGATCCTGTGAAATATAAGCAATAAGTTGACACGTCTGGCTATTTCTTGTAGGTAGAAAAAATAATTCTACGAGAACAGATTGCTTCAAAAAGAGTAAAAGTGATTTTAAGTTAATAGGCTAATATTAATAATAGGCTAATACCTGTGCTTTCAATGTCCCTGTTTTTTTCTAGTTCTTTTGGGTTGGACTACTGTTTATTCATTCCCTAAAGTGACTAAAACACCAGAGCTTAGTGCAATGTGAGCTGCTTTTGGTAAAGTATACCATGCAGACTTCCTCATGACTAACTCTGCCAAATGCCCTTCTGTCTTGACCTGTAAATTCCTGCTATTCCAGTCTTGGGCTTTGCTTTTAGGCAAGACTGCCAAGTGTACACAATTCTATCTGTTTTGACAACAACTTCATGATGAGAACCGAATGTCAACAATTGAAAATATTAATGCCACAAAATGTGTTTTTCTCGAGATATTGACTCTAAGTGTATTTTTTTTCTTATTTTTTAAATTTATTTTCAGAGAGAGGGGAAGGGAGGGAGAAAGAGAGGGAGAGAAACATCTATCAGCTGCCTCTCACACGTCCCCAGCCGGGGACCTGGCCAGCAACCCAGGCATGTGCCCTGACTGGGAATCAAACCTGCAATCTTTCAATTCTCAGGCTGGTGCTCAATCCACTGAGCCACACCATCCAGGGCTCCAAGGGGAGTTTTTAGGTGAAAACTTAGCATGCTAAATCACAACCAATTTTCTAAATACATAAAAATCAGATGATATTTATTTATTTTTTCCTTATTCAAAGGGAATCCTTACCTTATAGCTCTCCTAAAGCAGAGAAATATTTGAAAGCACAGTTCCTACTTCTGAGAGAAGTGGGAAAGAAGGAACCAGACAACTCACTGAAGGGCCACTGGCATCTGAAGCCAACAAACTGATAACTGCAGTTACTGCTAAAGGGTGGGAAGAAGGAGGAAGGGGTCACTTCATTCATTTTATACATTAATTTACTATAATATATTTGCAGCATCACCACAGAAAAAGATCAAAGTATGCCTGTATCTATTTTTCCCATGCACACAAATGTAATTTTATCACAGTAACAAAACTGGCAACTGTTGTATTTATTTTTAATTAATGTTTTATTTAATATTATTGAAGATTATGTTATATTATGTTATTTAATATATATTTATATAACATTTAATATTATGTAAAGATGGTAATAGTAGTGTATATTATTTGTAGAATTTTGAAAAATGCAGAAAAGGAATCTCCCTCATAATTTCATGGCCCTAAGAAAACCACTTTTTGATATATTATCTCTCTATTATTTTCCTTTTAGCAACAATAGTTTAAATTTTAACAGATTTCCTTGCTACATACAATGAGAGAATAAACTTGATATCTACATGTACTGAACATGCCTGATCCCCTCCCCCCAAAAAAGAAGAAAGGGACTCACTATCCCCAAGGGTATATCCCCACTGGCACTACTTGGCTTTGAGGAAAGAGAAGGTGCAAATAGTCAATGAAGGTGTTAAAATGACGGGTTCAAAAGCCATAGGCCAAGTTTTATTAAAGTTAGGTCAATTGGACCAGAGTAATAAGCTGACACTTGACATTTATGGCATAGATTTGCCTTTGGAAGCATCATCTCCTTTCTCTTAAAATAGTCATTTCTGACTTGACTTATTTTTCTCGTCACCATCCAGAAGCACCAATGATCTATCTGTTCTTAAAGGGGAAAGATAATCATAATCCTGGTTTCTCCCCCTCTAGTATTATGAATGCAAATGAGTGGGGAGTATTACAGCAATCATAAAGGAAAAAACAGAAGAAGGAGAAAAGATGGTGATGCTAATTGCCAGTCACATATTTTAGGCAGTCAAATTTTTACTAAACAATTCTGTAAAAGATAAAAATGCTTATAATTAGATAGCAATGGGAGAGAGGTTACTATTCCAGATGAAAGGCACTGGTGAGGTTGATTAGGAAGGAGGTGTGTAGAGGAGCAAGTAAGGTGAGGGCATTTTGTACCTGGAGATAGTTAATAATGACAAATGTGAGCTAGAGGTATGGGTAGAGATAAAGATTAAAATAGAACACTCTTTTGATTAATAATTTGCACCTTGAAAAAGTGGCTTCTATTTCAAACCTTTCATAAATAAATTTCAGTACCTTTTTTTCTGAACGTTTATACAATTTCCTGATATAGCCAACAATTTCCACAGAAATGGGAACAGTACACTCATTTTATAACTGAAGGTCAGAGAAGTTAAGTGACTTGACTAAGGCCACACAGCTTATAATGGTAAAACTGAAACCCTGTTTCCCAGGTCAGTGCTTGTTTTAAAATTCCTCTTTATTATTCTGCTAGGTTTCACTCCACAAATTGAAAGAAAACAACCCACTATTTTAAGAGATTAGGTATTTTTTTGAAAGGGCCACAAAAGGACAGAGGAAAAATAAAGGGGGCCAGGGTAAAGAGAATTGCATGTCACATATCAAAGGACAGAAAGAGAAAGGCTTGAAAAGCCTTTGGAATTCCCCTCCCATGCCTTATAAAGAGCAGGGTCAGGGGTCTCTGAGCTTCTTTTCTTTTCCTTCTCTCTCTCTCTCTCTCTCTTTCTTCCTTCCTTTCTCCTCTCTCTCTCTCTCCCTCTCCCTCTCTATTCTCTTTCATTGGCAAGATATCCTTTAATGGCTTGATACCAAATCTACTCAGAGTATAGCAAAGCCCACACTAGGGGTAAAGGCTGCCAGACTCATCTTCTTTTTGTAAATTGCATTGTTTGTGTTTTTCTTTTTTATCGTATTTTTCCATTACCATTTAGTCCCCTTACACTGCCTCCCCCAGCAATCACCACATGATTGTCCGTGTCCTTGAGTCCTTTTCTTATTTACTCAATCTCTCCATCTCCCCATTCTCCCCCACTAGCTGTCATCTGCTCTCCATCTATGAGTCTATCCCCATTTTCCTTGTTAGTTCAGTTTGTTCCTTAGATGCCACATGTGACTGAAATTATATGATATTTGTCTTTCTCTGACTGGCTTATTTCACTTAGCATAATGTTCACTAGGTTCATCCATACTGTTGCAAAGGGTAAAATTTTCTTCTTTTTTACAGCTGAGTAATAGTGCATTGTTTGTTGTTTTGTTTTGTTTTTTTTATGGAGGACAAGTATAACATTACTATTGTCTGGCAATGACAAGCAATATGCTTTGAAACAGTCACACTCCTCTACCCTGGAGTGGTAACCATTTTTCCCTCAATAAAATTCATGACATAATTTTTTTGCAGCATAAGGCAAATCAAACCAGAAACTCTTATTGAAAGTACAAGCATGCTTTTTTAATGGTCAATTGTAAACATTTGATATATTTACTATTATAAACCAATGCCACATTGGATACTGAAGGACTGAAGGGTAGGGGAAGGAGGTCCAAGAAAAATTAAAAAAAAATTAAAGAACTAAGCCAGAACAAGGAAAATGATATAAAATCATATGACAAAAATAGTATTAGTGGTCCTCTAAGACAGTGATCCCCCAGAAGTCTTTGGGACTGAATTGCCAATGCCTGGGTGTCCATAATAAAGCTACATCTATTCATTTGTGTCTGATATGAATTAATAACGGACTCCTGCCTGAAAACATCACCACTGATCCTCTGGCGACTTTCTTCTTTTTGCAGTGGCAAAGTAGTAGGGCATTTTGGTGGAGTAAGGGATCTCCTGACTGATAAAAGTGGTTTATATTCCCCTGAGGAATTTGGAAAGCACTAATAAAATCAATTGAGAATGGATTTATAATGTAATGTGATATAACATAATACAATTGTTGAAAGCTAAGCAAAGAATAATCATTTATTATGGGTCTTTGGGTAAATCATTCCATAAAAATCTTAGGTAAATGTATATCTATCCTCAAATAGTTCCAAAAAATAATACACTCTTGTTTATTGTAAAAAGAGAAACCCCCCCAAAAATCTGAATTTCATTTTAAAGGTATGGGTCCCTGAGGAATAAACTCATATTAAAATGGATGAGTGATCAAATGTGTAAAATCTATTTATTTTCTAAAATATTCATATTTTAAATCACCTGCTCTAGGGAAATTTGATGACATAAAAATGAAAGACTTTTTTTCTGTTGCCTTATTCACATTAGAATTTGATTTCAAAATTTTAGGACCACCTCTTTTGCATAGCTTTACATATGTCTGCAAAAAGAGATTATTCTTCCAAGCAGGGGTATGCAGGTACTGGGAAATACTTCTGGAAATCCTCCAGAAGATTTTTCCCACCTCACAACAGTGTTTCATCCCAAACTTTGTAAATTGGGAATGATAGTTGGAAAAGGTCATCTCCAACCTGTGACGTGCAACCTTTTGTCACTACACTTAGCTCCTCTCAACTAGAGCCCTGATTTTTAATCAAAGCCCAGGGGCAGTAAGGGGAAGACAAAGGGCCCTTCTTAGCCCAAGGAACTTTTCCCCATTATTCTCGGATGTTTTCAGCTCTCCCAATCCTTAGAAAAGCTGCTTGGTGAAAATAGGGGCCGATGGGGAGGGGCGGAGTCTGCTACAAAGAAGATCACTGGCCTTAGTTTTTCGCTCAATTGTCCAGCCTGTTCGCATTTAAAAGCAGTAGTTCTCAACATTTTTTCCTTCTTCCACTGTTCCCAGTCACAAAACACTGCCAACATTACCTTCTCTACTTATTCAAGAAGATTCTGAGCTGGCCCATCTAGGGAAGGTTTTCCATTCCCCACCCTATTGAGAATTACT